CCTCACCTCACATCCTCAGATAAATCTCATTGAGGTTGAGCGAGTACATAATATAAGTGGGCTATTGACAGAGCGGAGGTTACCTAGAAGTCCCTGATTCCTAATTTAGATTGTTGCATCCATCCTTGCTGCAGGAAGGAGAATATGGGAGGGGACAAGGGAGAACCGACGCGTGCCGCGACGCGTTTGATGGCCGGCCGAGCCTACCCGATATGGACCGATCAACGATCAACGGCATCTCGGCCCAGGCGATGATCGTGACGATCAGCGTAAATTTTTTGGAATAAGTTAGTTTGTATAAGTTACTTTTGTAGGCACCGCATGGACCAGGACACACGCGGCCTGCAGGAATGCTGGTCGTGTGATGCGGGGGTGGTGCAAGCGCCACTCAAAGCTATGGACAGAGGACGCAGAAATATTAATTCGTGGAGCTGCTACACAAGGACCAATCGTCAGATTCCCCGACGATAGAGAGGACGTGGACAACGTACCTCACATCATTCTCCTCCCCAGCATATGCACCCGCATCGCACTCGCACATCGAGCGCCCACCCAATAAAATCACCGATCCCGACAAAGATAGGGCTGTTCCCCGAAATGGCAGTCGGCGTCGCAGCAAAATCCACAAGTATGCTCCAGCACGGGATAGACGACGGGATGTAGTCTCCGCCCCGGCCTCGAACGAGCGTCGGGGATAGGTAATGTCAGGGATTATCCAATACGAGTCTGGAACGGAAGATGAGACGCTGTCGAAAACATCTCAAGGGATGTAATACACCCGGAAAAGGACTGCTACCACGTCTGTCCGACCAGCGATTTACCTCCGGGCCCGAGGAATGTAATACTCTCGGCGAATGAAGCGGATGCCCTCCTGGATGGAGTGCCACTCGTATTCCCGCGCGCGCTGCCGTCCAGACCCCACAAGCAGTGTGTCGGAGCGCCCCCGTAGCCTGAACGTCCCGTAGCCCGAATCCTCCTCCCGACAAAATCGACCCAAATAAGCGCCGAGGGCGCCTAAACTCCCGACGATGCAAACGAAGCACCCGACGTTACAGGAGCAACAGCGCCTGGGAGGACACGGGACGACCACAGTGGTATGCGCACGGATACGCACCCGCCCATCCAAATATGCTCGGGATCCGTGATATGGCAGGAACCGAGGCCGCAGAGATCCAAGGCCACTTCGACGGGAAGATCGCTGGCGCGCTCCACGATGGTCGCGAACGACGCGCGTAGACCCCGAGTCGGTGTTATTCCCTGCAGACGATAGGATGGTGAGACAAGTAAAAAAAGACGAAGCTGTAAGCGCACCTTATACCACTTCTCGGGCGAGAGACGTACGGATCGCGCACCGTCCAAACGTCCTCCGCCCCCTCTTCCCCTTCCCCCCCGTTCCCGTTCCCCACCCTCGCCCACCCTCCACCCCTAGCCCCGAGAAACTCGCCTTCTCCACCACCAGCGCCCGCTACTCCGATAAGCGCCCAATGCAAACGACGCAGCAGCGGGCGGTGAGCCTAGCACGCCGATCAGCACGGGGCTGTAGGCATCTTAATGCGCTCGTAGGTCGGAAGAATATTGTATGCCGCTCTAACCCTAACCCTATTATCACCGCGGAGGAAACAGGCTGCGATCGCGCATAAGACGAGGATACAGACACGAAAACGAGGGCCGGGAGCCGGACCCGCGCGCGCAGAAGAGGGTGTACGGTCGAGGAAGCAAGCAGCCGCCGCTGCGGAGGACGATGCTGGTAAGTTCCACATACACCCATTTCGAAATAAGAAAGATGGTCGAGGGGAAGAGATGTGCGTCTGTATGAGGAGGTATATGGGTGGAAATATATGCGTCGTATCGGAGAGGATGTGCTGCCGGAAAGCTTGTGTGAGGCGCCACCACTTTGAGGACGGGAACCACATGGGCGCATGAGCTACTGCACGCCAGCGAAGCGAAGCGAGCGCGGATGCCGAGCTCCGCGCGCTCAAACCCGATGCATCCAGGCGCGGGAGCCAGATATGGATGTCCACCGCTCTAATAGATCCTCCCCTCACACCTTGCGCTTAAGCCTCGAGGACCAACACGACTCACTCGGCGGCAACATAATCGTCGAAGGTCCGCGGCCGCACTGCGAGAGTAGCGCAGTGGTCGTGGAATGGGCGTTGTGGACTGTCAGGCAGGTACGGTCGGGCGGAGCGGTATGCAGCTCAACGCGGTCGCGCGGGAGAACTTGAGGAGTCTGGAGGAGGATCTGCGAGTGGTGGAGCTACGCGCCCAGTCCGTGACAGGCACCAGCACATCCGAAGCGGCGTGCGATGGTATGTATGTCGACGAGCGAGAATTGACGGCGAGGTAGCACCCAGACCCAACATGCAGCCCGTAGTGGATAGGAAACGGACGTGGGCCCGCCGCGTCCGAAACGAGACGGGATAGGGGTGAGTCGAAGTCGCAAATGGTAGCGCACAGGGAGGGGTACATGCAAGTCACTTGAAGGTAAGGTAGGTGCGCCCACTACGTCTAAGCGGGATAGCACAGGATGGGAGGGAGTCAAAGGGAGAATGGGCAAGCGCGGGGCAGGTTGTCCTGGTCGATTCACGTTTAAAGCGTCACCGACAGCCAGTAGCCCGGAAAGCGCACTCGCCCATCGAGCTCATCGTATCGTGTTGGCGCTCTGCTTCATCGCGCGACCTCGTGGGCATGCACACCGCTGCGGATCTGCTGCCGAGGACGAGCGAGAGAATAAACTTTCTCTTCCCAGCCCGAAGCGCATTCAAAGACGGCCAGCTTCCCCCCGAGCGGCAGCGACGTGTACCCACCAATCCCGCGCTGCCTGCCTGCCTGCTACACGGCGCCGGCGCAGCAGTACCAGTTCGGGGCTCTGCACGCCCCGGGGACGCCGAAGGCGAGGCCCGAAGCGTACGCACGCGAGCTGGGAGTCGAAAGGCGGGCGGGCGGAAGGCGCGCGAAAACCCGAGGCGAGGTCGGGGTGGCGCGAAGGGCGTATGGGTAGGCGGCGCTGCACAGGTACGGGACGACAAGGGAGGGAGGGATGCGCGCGCAAACGCACCGCCGCGGAGAAGGCGCGTGGCGCTCGGGATCCGCGATTTGGCAGGGAACATGCACACCCGCCGTCAACAATTCGGGGTGAGATAGGGATATAGGTATGCGCGGCGTGTCCGTGTCCGTGTCCGCGCCAGCCGAATTTGTCCGGAGCCAAAGCGTACGCCGGCGAGTCGGGCGGAGGAGGCGTATGGTGCGCGCGCGCGAGAACACCAGCGAGGGCGGGGTGGCGCGAAGGCGGCGCTGCACAGGTACGGTACGGGACGACAATGGAGGGATGCGCGCGCATACACGCCGCCGGGATGAAGCAGGGAGCATGCACACCCGCGCTGCTGACAGTTCGGCTTGGGATAGAATTTGAAGCCAAGTAGCTGGAGGATCGGCCCACGCGTACGGAGAGCAGTCGGCGAGCAGTAGGGAGCCGCCCACGTTTACGGCGGGGACTCGTCCCGGGAGCTGCACAACGCGCTGGCGAGGTCTGTGGATGGGGACGATGGTATGAGCAATGTAGAGCCCGCAGGAAGGTGGGTGCGTACCTTTATGATCGTGCCGTTGCCTGCACGAATCCAGCAACAAAACTCCATCAGCCAGCCCCGGTCCCCTCGCCATGTCCTCCGCACCACCTGAATCCTCAACGATGACTACGGGGTGCTTGCTTGCCGTCCTCGGTGGCAGTAGCAACGACACGAGCGGAGGCTAGGGTGGAAGGAGGCCGGAATCCAGAATCAATCGGTCGGCGAGGGCGCAAATACGACGCGACTCGGAGTTCATATTCCCATTGATGTCAGCGGAGGTCGCGCCAGCGCTGGCGTATGCGAGACGCATGGAGCTCGGAGGATGGAATCCGGGTATTCGGAATTGTCGCACTGTCGCGCGCCGTGGGCGAGAACTAGCCTCAGCTGTAGGCTCGTGCCGGGCCGCATCCCGACGACGACCTGGGGTACTCGCAGTCCCTAGTCGAAAAGGCGGCAAGCGCGATAGGTCGTGGTGGTGGTGCGGCTGTAATGGTGAAGCAGGTAGAGCGCGAGTGCGAGTGGGGGTGTACGTTTGCCTAGCTCTCTTTTTCCTCGGGCGGCGTTGTGAGCCGAGGGCGGGCAAAGCTGCAGCGGTCACTGTGTAAGATTCAAGAGCCTAGCGATGCAATATAGAGCGGGACCCACCGAAACCTCTTTCAGCGCGGCGTCCGGGTCGTGGTCGGGTATTCGCGTTCGGGGTTGGGAGCCTCTCCGCACGCGTATCATAGCATCGCTGAAGCACAGCAGTGGAGTGAGACAGTCAGACGAAAAGGATTCATAACGACGCAATGCAGAACGGGACCCACCACCCAGCGGAAGTTCTTTCAGCCTGCGGCGTCGGGGTCGTGGTCGGGTAGCCAGACGTCCGTCGCTCGGGGCGCGCGTAACGTAACAGCGCTGAAGCACCGCTGTGGAGAGGGAGAGTCAGACGAAAACCATCAATAAAAGAGGGACGACGCACCTATAGAAGTCCGACTCGTAACAGAGGCAACACCACTCGAGCACAGAGCACAGACAGACTCTGCCGAGAAGATGCTCGCACTCAGCGTCATTCAATGGTCGGTCGTTCGGTCCTGAAGGCTTCATGCCGTGACTCGTCCATTGAAGGCAGGTTTGTGAGGACGCGTTCGGGATCGAGGATGATGGTTTGGCAAGCCCGGACCGATGTCATCAACAACAATCCCAACTGATTGATCCTATGATCGCCGGTCCTTCATCTCCGCATGTTCAAGGTTTGGTTGAGGTTTGGGAACAGGTAAGTACCGCAAGAGTCAGCAGCGAAGAGGATCAGGATACGCAGAGAAGACCTGAATCAATCGCACCTGCAACACCTATATAAATAATGCCGAACGAACGTTTGAACCAGGGCCGGGTCATTCGATGTGCAGTGTTTTGGGGGTCCTTTATTCTACAAGTGTGAGAGTAGGCTACTAAGACCCAGTAGTGAAATGAAATCACGCCCGCACCTTGTAGGATCGACGCGTTGACGTGTTTAACCAGGAGTCCCCTGTTCGAACCAGGGCTGGGTCATTATCGTATCTGCCGGAAAATAAAAATCTTTTTATCTCCTGTAAAAGCAGGATGGAGCTTTGACCTCGCAAGAAAACTTAATTTAGTGGTAAGCGAATCACACTGGCCTCACACTGCGCTACTGTTTAGGAACTTATCTCTCGGCGCACCCAACTTACCATCAACAATCCCCGGATGCTCTGAAGCTCTACATAGTCATTGTCTAAGCAAGCACAATTGAAGGGTTGCGTTGACCCCAGACCCGATTCAGAATTTAAATGCATGTACACCGGGTGGTGGACCATATATATCAAATCTCCGAACCTTTGCTTCGTCCCTAGAGAGTTGCTCTGTTTCACAGATGAAAGGTCGACCCAGAGTAGACTGAGAAGACCCAGTGGTCAAATGTAATCACGCCCGCACATCGTATCATCCTTCTGTGATTCGCAAATTGAACTCTGGGAGTCCCCTGTTTAGGGATCCCCACCGTACCGTATACGGTTACGACCGTAAGGATTACGGTCCCTTACGGGCAGCAACCGGCCCGTAACCGTAACCGTAAGGAGGTTTCCAGAGGCACTTACGGTACGGTACCGTATATCTTACGGTGTTTTACGGGCATTACGGTCGTAAATCGGTCATAAATGCCAAATAAATTCCTAAGTACCCAGCGGTGAGTGAGAACAGGTATGCATAACTTACTTTCACGACCACTGATCCTAGTGAGCACTAAAGTGCACTGAACACTCGAATCTCCGAGTCGAGGGCGACATCGATCTGAGAGAGTTGACCGGCAATCATGGCAGTTGCCAGTTCAACCAAAGGATTTGGTCGCAAATTATTTTCAATTCAAACGGAATCCCACTAAAATGTAAGCTTAGCAGCTCTGAATGTTTGAGGAATGCAGAAAACCCTAACTGATTTTACCGTGATTTACGGTCCGTACAAGTCCGTATACGGACCGTATCATTACGGGTCCTTACGGTGTACGGCCGGTCCCAGACCGTAACCGTAAAAAAGCGACCCAAGGCCCTTACGGTACGGTTGCGTCACCCGTATAACCGTAACCGTATACGGCTCTTTACGGTTACGGTGGGGATCCCTACCCCTGTTCGAACCAGGGCTGGGTCATGGCTGGGGCGAAATCCACTTTTTTCTGCAAGATCAGGACTCAGCTTTTACTTGGAAAGGCGGTTGAGACTACAGGCTCTATGATCTGGGGTTAAAACGAATTGCACTACAGCCGTTTGCATAAGTCCGTGAAAACATGATTTTTTTTTTCGCGCCCACGTGCTCGTGCCGACGATGCCGAAAGGCTCTCCGACCAAAGGTACTCTCGGATTGGTATGGGCAGACCTCCAAGGTTGTAGCCCGGCCTTGCGGACAAGTCAACTTGTCGGCCCGATGGAAGGAACCACTACTTTCACCCTCCGGAACACCGGCCCGAGCAAGAAAAAAAAATCGTGTTTTCACGGAATTATGCAAACGGCTATAAGCCAGTGACGATGCAAGGCCAACCCAGAGTAGGCTAAGAAGACCCAGTGGTGAAATGTAATCACGCCCGCACCTTATATCGTCCCAAGAACGGTTTATAATGCGCCCAACCGGGAGTCCCCTGTTCGACCCAGGGCTAGGTCATGAGAGCTGCAAAAGGCTTTTTCTTCCGCAGAATTATGATGCAGCTTTCATTTTGCCAGGTTGAGCATTTAAATCTAATCTGGTGGTTAAACACATCAAACTGTGAGATTGCCTCCTGGACGATCGGACTGGGTCATTCAATGTCAACACAGCCATGGACCAATATGGAGTAGCAATGATGAAAGCCTGACCCAGACAAGTATTAAAGGTAGGCTAATGAGACCCAGTAGTGAAATGAAATCACGCCCGCACCTTGTATTGCCGCTATGAGACGTGTTAAACCGGGGGTCCCCTGTTCGAACCAGGGTTCGGTTATGTGATCGGGAGGAAGTTCTCTTTTTCTTCTGCAAAATCAGGAGGGAGCTTCGACTTACAAGGTTGAAAATCTCATCCAGTGGTTCAACGAATTGCATTGGCCCAGCCGAGTGTTTCATTATTTCTCAGTGAACCCAACTTACCATCAACAGATGTTACGGTATCTCGCACCCTAGCGGGAATCCCCTGTTTATCGTCAAACTGTAGGAGTCCCCTGTTGAAACCCACAACAAACTCAAATTATTGCGCGCATTGTGGGCTGCGCAGCACAATTGCAATTGCGCCGGGGCTGAATCAGCGGTGACTACCGGCTAGAATCATGAAGACATAAAAACGGCGGGGGGTGGGAAGGGAAATGTGGAAGGGCGACAATTGTACACGGACCGCAAAGCTGGAACGGAGAGTTTGGGACGAAAGCCGGCACTCATGAAAAGAATGAAGTGATTGAAAGGATTATTCTAATGGGAAACCCGGGAAATCTTTCATTTGTGTAATGAGGAACCCGGCCGGGACTTCCGGTGATGCGGCTTGGCCCCAAAATTGCCCGGAATGAGGAGATTTGACCGTCCACTGTTCTCAAGAATTATATTTCTCAGCGGAACAAAAAAAGCTGCATGAAATAGCCAAGATTGATTGCATCAAATTCCTGGTCTCACGGTTCAATTTTCAGCAATTTTATTCTGGGGAACCATTTGGGCATCATTGATATGATGGTTCAATACCTTTGTAACTAGCTCCCACTCAAATCTGAGCCTCCTCAAGGTGAGCTTGGCTAAACAACTAAAAACTCGTACCTCATTTGTTGTAGGCAGAGAAGTATGATGGAAGCCTGAAGGGCGATTGCAATTGAAGGGGCGGCACCTGGTGTCCGCTCAGACAACGGACTCGGCCGAGTCGGGTCGTGCGAGCGAGCCAATAGTAGACTGTTGCCAGAGAGATTTTGAGAGACGGGGCCACTACGTTGCGAGAACCACGGACTCGTCCGAGTCGGGTCGTTTGCAATCTCCGCCTATGAAGTAAACCGTGGACAGTCCACAGAGCGTTGACTTGGAACCTATGAAGGCGAAGGTGGTCCAAAGCTATCTAGCTCGTACAAAAAACGAGATCTCTGCCAAAATGTGGTTTCGAATTGTTAAAAGAAGGATAGACTAAATTTATCGTAAAGGTGATACATTGAGTAAGAGGAGGGTACGCCTCCGCGCACATGCCCCCGATGCGCTGACGGCTCTGGTGTCGAAAATTCCATGCAACCGATCGCCCACAGCGGCGGGCGGCAAAAATCCCAACGCAGAGAGGGAGAAATGAGCTGATCTCGAGAAACCGGTGGAAAGAAAGGACGGAGGTGGATGGGCGCCTGTGGTTGTGATCGTGCAGGAACATGGACGGGGACAGCCGTGACCGTGGCCGTGTTCAGCAGCCAATCGTTAGAATGCGCGGCGAGTAACAAGACGCAGAGTACGTAACTCAGACCCTTCGCACCCGCGACGCGTGGCGCAGGAGACCCACCCGATCCCGAGAAAGATGGGGGCTGTATGTCAAATTCGCCGGGCGACCCAGCAACATGGACAAAAGATGATCAATGAAGAAACGGAACGGACGAGGACGAGCGCGCGCGTACACACGGCCGCACGATGCGGGAGTTTGATATCGGTCGGGGATGTCGAAAGGCGGAAATGTTGATATTGGCACGAGACCAAGTCTGATACATGTACACGGAAGGATGAAGAAACCTGAGCAGCATTGATTGAGACGCAGTGGTGCACAGCTCGTACTCAGCGGATGCAGTGCCGCTCGCACGCCCAAATCCTCTTCTCGAGTGCTGTCATTCGTCCCAAGTAAGCGCCGAGGGCCCTTAAAATCCCGACGATGAAAAAATGAAGCATCCGGGGTCGAGGGGGTCCCAAGCACAACGGGGAACTGAGCAGGACACGGGACGACGATAGCGAGGTGTACCCGCCGTCCCGAATGCGCTGGGGGTTCGTGAGGTGACGGGGAACGGTGAGAAATCGGCGCGTGCGCGTCTCGACAAAAGAGAGAGCTAGATAAGGGTGGAAGACGACGGAGGTACGCGTGCGTGCGCCGCCGCCAATTTGGGGAACCCGTGAGACGAGGACGGAAAGACAACGCTGCAGCGCACCTTGATATGTACTCCATTCTCCAAATGGAGCGCAACTCGTACTCCCCCGCGCGCAGCGCCCCTGAAACCGCACAAGGCTCAAGCAGCAGGCTGCAGACGCCCGTGTAGGCCGAATCCTCCTCTCGAGGAACCTGTGACCCGTCCCAAATAAGCGCTGAGCGCCTAAAATCCAGACGATGAAAAACGAAGCATTAGGGCCCAGGAGCAAGACAGGCACGGGAGGAGGATCGAGGGGTGCACGCGCGTACGCGCTCGCCGTCCCGAATACGCTCGAAGTTCAACGATATGGCGTGGAGGGGTGAGAGATCCGCGTGTCTGGTCTGTTATCGACGCAAAGATGGTTGGTGCGCTCGACGACGGGGGAGATACGTGTGCATGCGCATGCGTGCGCATGCCCGGCTACCGGTACGCACACCCGTAGCGCTGGGGAATACGTGAGGCGATAAGAATGTAAAGCTGCAAGCGCACTTTGATATTGTACTATTTGCGAAAAACGCCCGTCCGCGTCGCCATCCCCGCGCGCGCCCACCTCTAGCATCAGCACCGAAAACCCTCCACCTTCCCCAAAATGATGGGCTGTCCCTAAGGAATGAGCGGCGAGCCGAGAGGGAGACACGTGCGCGCGTAGGGCCCTCTGAAAACACGGCGTCGGGGAAATGAAGCAGCAGCGCGCATCGGACGTTGCGGAGGAAGATGCTGGTACATAGGTCCGGCATACACCCGTTTCGAGGGAGGAGATAAGGCTCCAACTATTTAGTTTAGGTTTAAACTTGCGGTAAACTAAACCTAAACGGTATCTAAACCGTTTCAAAACCGTTTAAAACTGTTTATAAAGGGTATTTTTTGCAGGTATTTAGGCTCACTGTGTATGCTGTGGTAACGGAAGGCCAAGCCACCAAATGATGTGGTTCACTCGAAAGCAACTCCAGAAGATATCCTTGTGGACACTGGAGGCCCCATGGACCTCTGGTTCACCTGTCCAACTGCGCGCCAAACGACATCAACGATATTTGATGGCAGTGATGCCCCCAGATCGGGAAGTAGCCCCTATCGTTTTGTGTCCAAATTGGTGTATCATGTTCAGCTGGCTGAGACACCGTCTGTGGAACTCTCTGACAGATTATAATCACTGGCCTTCAGGCAGAAGATCCTCTCCAGATGGGGTATGCGAAACAAATATTCAAACCGTTTATAAAACCGTTTGTTTACAGTTTACCCTGTCCGTCAAACTAAACCTGAATAAAAACGGTTTTAACCGTTTAAAACCATTTATAAACCAAAACCGTTCAAGCCTTAGGAGGAGAGGATGTGCTGCCGGAAAGCTAAGCTCGAGGGAGACTTGGACCACGACCGCTTCCACTTCGAGAAGACGAGAACCACACTGGCGCGTGAGCTACCGCTTGGAGCGAATCAGAGCCCGCACGAACCCGATGACTCGATGCCGCATCCAGGCGCGGGAACCATTCGGCGGCAACATAGTCGTCAAGGTCCGCGGCCGCGCGCCGACAGTAGCGCGCGCAATGGTCATAGAATCGGCGTTATTGCGGGTTCGGTCGGGTGGGGCGGAGCGGTATGCAGTCCAACTTGCGCGGAGGAATAAGTGGCATGATGGGCGGTGACTTGAAGAAATCGGGCCGGTTGCCGACACTGTTAGCCGACACCACGCGTCAACGCGCCGCGGCGCCTCTTCAACGCCTCTTGCTCGCCGCCGCCGAGCTTGATAGCCCCTCGGCCGTCTCATGTATTGGTGCTTTCTACTCAGTGCAACTCTTTTCATTTTCTTGTCCTCTACACAACCACTGACCAGAACTCTCTCATTGCTCCCCGACTCCCTTGAAATTCGATCGGGCGATCATCTTGCCGGCAGTTCTTCGTTTCTATCTTGCGGCCTCCCAATCAGCCGGATGGCGGCAATCTGCAGAAGAAGATCTGGGTTGAATGCTGCAACGATCATCGAAAAATCGGAAAGTGCTAGGGGGGAACAACCATTCAGATGTCAATACATTTTCAACCGCTTCAAATGCTATAGTCCTACCCTCGCAGTCTACACCTAGTCCCGAACCCGAGCCTGTAGAGCGAAATCGGGGCGCCCCAAAATCCTGGTCTGGATCATCTGGGGGTGCTGGAAGTGTGTAAGTGAGGTGTTCTTCAGGCAACACAAACCTACGTTCAGTTCGAAACTCAGACTATTGATAGTCCTGATGCGCACGGAGGAAGCCCGCGTAAGCACGGCTTCATCCGGAGCTCACCCTTCTATACATTTCCCTCCTCCCGCGTCAGATCGAATGGGAGTAATAATTCCCTTTGTGGAAGTGTACAGTGGGGAGCGCACATTAGCCGCGCTTGTCAAGGTGTATGTTGACCTCGGACTGCGGAGAGTTCACTTAGTCGGGCTCGATGGCGCAGAGAGATGGATAAACGATCTTTTGGGCGGGTAGTAATCCATCTCTTACCGTGTTGGATGTCGCTTTTCGAGATGCCGCGGTGCTTGCGCAACCGCGTGCCGACATAGCGCGCTTCTGTAGAGCCTTTTTTTCCTGGTCGGACC